GAAAGAAGGCTGGGATGACACAGCAGGGAGCCAAGACTGAAGACTCTGGGCCAGCATTGTGGCTCAGCATCAAAGCTGCTGCCTGTGATGCCAGCATCACATAGGGGGCACTGGTTCAAATCCCAGCTTCTCCACTCCTGATCCAGCTCCCTGCTAATGCACCTGGAAAGGGCTGGGCCCCTTCCACCCACATGGGAGGGACAGATGGAGTTCTAGGCCCCTGGCTTTGACCTGGCTCAGTCCTGATTGTGTGGTCATTTAGGGGAGTGAACCAGCACATGGAAAATCTCTTTCTCCTCTCTGTAACTCTGCTTTTAAAATAAATAAAATAATAATTTTTTTTAAAAGAAGACTCAGCAAGAGCTTTAGAAAGTTCAAATGGACTAGGCTGGTGCCACAGGCTCAATAGGCTAATCCTCCACCTGTGGCACCAGCACCTCGGGTTCTAGTCCCGGTCGGGGCGCCGGAATCTGTCCCGGTTGCTCCTCTTTCAGTCAAGCTCTCTGCTGTGGCCAGGGAGTGCAGTGGAGGATGGCCCAAGTGCTTGGGCGTGCACCCGCTGGAGACCAGGAGAAGCACCTGGACTCCTGGCTCCGGATCAGCATGGTGCGCTGGCCGCAGCACACCGGCTGCAGGGGCCATTGAGGGGTGAACCAACAGAAAAGGAAGACCTTTGTCTCTCTCTTACTGTCCACTCTGCCTGTACAAAAATTAAAAAAAAAAAAAAACTTTAGAAACTTGAACTTTAGAAAGGTCAAGGCCAAGTGGACAGAGCCACATGGCTTGTCAAGGGGAAGCTGTGCTCCCGGCCCTGGAACACTGCTGCTCTCTCCTGCCACACTCTAAAGGCAGTGCCAACTGGACCATAGCTGCAGGCCTGGTGGGCCAGGGTGGGGGACTGGCGTTGATTCCTTGGGCTGTTCTTACTCCTTCACAAAACCCAGCTTCATGACCTGGCTCTCGGGGCTGGCATTTCTGGACTTCCATTTCTTTGTTCATAAAATCAAGTAAGAAGGTGTCACATGCCCAGCACAGAGTGACGGCTCTGTGAAGGGCAGTGCTCTCCTCCCCACCCTTTCAGGTCAAGGGGAAATGCAGTTGGGGTGGGGACAAAGGTAAACACTTATTTGGGGTGGAGCTTGCTTTATGAATCATCGTAACTCAGCTGAACGCAGCCCTCTGCAAACACTTGAGGTGTTCTTGGCGTGTTACTTTCTTGAATGATGTTGCGTGGTGCTGGTGGCGGGGGGCAGGTGTGTGTGTGTGTGTGTGTGTGTGTGTGTGTAATTGTCCCTTCCTATATAAAAGTGTGGCCTGACTTGTCCTGGATGCACCTGTCTGTAAGGAACCCTGCTCACCACAATGGTAGGTAACTGAGTGGGTACATAGAGACCAGAAAGGAGGGGGGAAGTGTCTTCCTTATTTCACTTCTACTTGTACTGGAGCTCACGGGGTGCATTTAATGGTGAGTGGATCCTAGTTAGGAATCTTCCGCATGTGACTTGCAAGTTCAACGTGTAGAGTAGAAAAAGGGTCTGGGGACTCTGGGAAATCCTAACGAGTTCCCTAAGATCTGAGTTGCTCTAGAAACTCTGGGGTTCAGTGAGGTCTCTGGTGTCTCTGATTCTTGGGGCCTATTTGAGTGGCTGGTGAGATGGAATGCAATGCCGGACCAATCATTGCACCATTTTATAGATAAACTGAGCCTGGGGACTGGAAGAGACTACAAGCCTATAGGGAGCTGAGTGCAAAGCCAGGGGTTGCTCTCTGCAGCAGGATCGCCTGGGAAACCTTGAAAAATACTGACAGGAGCTCCCAGACACTCAGGATGTAATTGGTCTGCAGTGAGAACAGGGTTTTTGTTTTTTAACATTTATTTACTTATTTTAAAGGTCAAGGTCTACAGAGAGAGGGAGAGGGAGAGAGAGAGAGAATCTTTCATCTGCTGTTTCACTCCCCAAAGGGACTGGCCAGGCTGAAGCCAGAAGTCTGGAACTTCATCCGGCTCTCCCATTGAGTGGCAGGTGCCCAACTACTTGAAGGGCCACCCTCTGCTGCTTTCCCAAGCACATTAGCAGGGAGATGGATTGGAAGTGGAGCAGCCAGGACTCAAACCATGACCCTATGTGATGCCAATATTGCAGGTGGAGGCTTAACCCCTCTGCCCCACAACACCAGCTCCTATCTTATTAATTTGAAAGGCAGAGTGACAGAGAGAAGTGGAGAGACAGAAAGAGCTCTTCCATCCATTGGCTCACTCTCCAAATATCTGCAGCAGGCAAGGCTGGGCCAGGCAAAGCCAGGAGCCTGGAGCTTCATCTAGGTCTACCTATGTGGGTGGCAGGAACCCAGGCACATTAGCAGGGAGGTGGATCAAAGTGGAGCAGCTGGGATTCAAACCAGCACTCTGATAGAGGATGTCCCAAATAACACCTTAACTTACTGCACCACAGTGCCAGCCCCCAGATCCCTTAGTCTGTGAACTCATGAATGCTCCACCCACATGACCTAATCACCTCGGGGGGGGGGGGTCCTACCTGTTAGTGCCTTCCCATCTGGGTTGAATTGTTACAGGAGTTTGGGTGACGGCATTCAAGCATAGCATGCATGCAAGACAAACTAACTTTTGGGTGGGGCCGGGGAGCGGGCTGTTTCTGAGACACTGTCACCTGGGTAATGCACCCTCTTAGTAAGGTGATCTCCTATGGGTCACTGTCATTCAGTCTCGTGCATCTCCAGCACCCCCAGGAGTCACATCCTGCAAAGTCTTCATCTCCCTGAGTGCCCCAGGTCCTGCCACCACCAGCCCCGCCACTTGCCAGGTGCTTTTCTGAATCATCCCTGGTTCTTAACCAGCTCTGTTCTTGGGCGAGTAGTGTTTTTCCATTTCCCACTGCTATGGGGAGGAGTCTTTTCTGAAGATCAAGTCTGGGAAGTGAAGAAGTGAAGATTGGCATTGTAAACGGTGTTAAGGAGTTGATGCACGCTCTCAAATTGCATGCCCTAACCATTGTTCCAGCCGACTGGCCCTTGTGCCTCTCACATCTCACCCATGTGTCTGTTTCCCTCCGGGTGTTATAAATTAAATGGTTATTCTCGCCATACCATTATGGTTCTATTTTATACACATTTTACATTTGTTTTGTTTTCAGTAAGTTGAACTTTTTTCGTGCTTGCTCATCATGTTTCATTGTGTCTATGCATGGGTGTGAAATGCCTTTTAAAAAAAAAAAAGATGTATGTATTTATTTGAGATGTGGAGTTACAGTGAGAGAGAGAGAGACAGAGAGAGAGGTATTCCATCCACCGGTTCACCACAAATGGCTGCAACTGCTGGAACTGGGCAGATCTGAAGCCAGGAGCCAGGAACTTCTTCCAGGTCTCTCACATGGGTGCAGGGGCCCAAAGATTTGGGCCATCCTCCACTCTTTCCCAGGCCACAGCAGAGAGCTGGATCATAAGAGGAGCAGCTGGGACTCAGACTGGTGCCCATATGCGATGCTGGCACTGCAGGCGAAGCTTAGCCCACTACGCCACAGTGCTGGCCCCAAAATGCCATTTTTATACTAAAATGTTTTCTTTTTCTATGAGATGACAGTCTTCCTGTAATGATACTATTTTCCAAATCTGATATCTTTTAATTTTATTTATATTTTTGCAATTTTTTACATACTCAAATCTATTTTTTTCATACTGCATAAGATAAATATTTGCCAATGTTTCTGTGGTTATTTTATTATCTTGTAAACATTTGAGCCTTGAATCCTTTTCAAGCTTCTTACATTGTGGGAACTAAAGTAAGAAACTTATTTCTTCCCCACACAGTGCCTCACTTGTTCTAAAACCATTTAATGAATCATTACTCTCCTCAAAGACCATGCTTATTTTAGTAACAAACTTTCATACAGATTTATGAGTACTTTCTGGGTTCTCTATTTGGTTATGTATATTTGCACTTCTATTCTTTTTAATTTATTTATTTTTTATTTTTATTATTTTTTAAGATTTATTTATTTATTTGAAAGGCAGAGTTACAGAGAGGCAGATGGGGATGAGAGAGAGAGAGAGAGAGAGAGGTCTTCCATCTGCTTGTTCACTTCCCAGATGGCTGCAACAGCTGGAGCTAGGCCAATCTGAAGCCAGGAGCTTCTTCCAGGTCTCCCACGTGGGTGCAGGGGCCCAAGTTGGGCTCAAGGACTTGGGCCATCTTCTACTGCTTTCTCAGGCCGTAGCAGAGAGCTGGATTGGAAGTGGGGCAGCTGGCACTCAAATTGGCCTCCATATGGGATGCCAGCACTGCAGGCGGTGGCTTTACCTGCTATGCCACAGAGCCAGCCACAGGCTAACAACTTTTAAGTGTCACAGGTTTTAAGGATTCTGCAGAAACAACAAAAAAAAAAAAAAAAAGAAAAAAACAACCCTGTAGTTTAGAATGCACAGAAGTTTGTGCATTTTAGTTAATGTACTTTGTAACCTAAGTTATTGCAGGATAATTCTGTCATGTATCCTGTTTGTATTTGTTGGTGTAGTTCTCATGACAGACTACACACATTTTTGTCAATCTGTACTTTTTTCAAATATTGAAAACCTTATTTTTTAATTCTTTGCATTTTTCAATTACAGAAAAGCACTTCAAGTTTTTTATGTGTGAACATTACATATAAAGCCTTTTAAAACACATAACTTTCGTGCCAAAAGAGAAAGTACAAGGTGGGAGTTGTGGCACAAGAGGATTCAACTGTGGATTACCAGGCCAGTGTCCCGTGTCCAGTGCTGGCTCGGGTCCAGGCTGCTCTGCTTCTGACCCAGCTTCCTGCTAACGCTCCTGGGAAGGCAGTGGAAGGTGGCTCAGGTACTTGGGCTCCTGCCACCTATATGGGAGACCCAGGTGGAGTTCCTGGCTCCTGGCTTCAGCCTGGCCCAGCCCCTGCTGTTGGGGCCGTGTGAGGAGTGAACCAGCAGATGGAATGGTCTCTCCCCTCTCTCTCTCTCTCTCTCTCTCTGTCACTCTGCCTTTCAAATAAATATTCTTAAGTACTCTCACCCCATCTTTGTTTTTAGAAGATTCCTGGGGATTATCATTTTAAAGTTAGTTTGTGCAGTTTATCTAGGAACGATGACAAGCGTAACCTGATCCTTCTCCTTGTCCTTGATTTCAGCCTAGATCCCTTGGTCTGTTCATATGGTCGGCAGCGATGCCTTTGTCATCTAGAAAATGAAAAAAATCATCTGATCCTCATGCTCACAGCTTTGCTTGCACCTGTCTTTCCTCTGGGACCCCCAGCTGACCCAGCTAGCCCAAGAAAGCCCCAGCCAGAGTCTCTTCCCCTTTATCTCTTCCTGAAACTCCTCCACCCCTTCACTCTTGCAGATTCTTGCTAAAAACGACCCTACCCAGAAAGGCTTCCCCGACCGCTCTGTGATAAGTAGCACATGGGCATCATAGCTCCAGGACCTTGAACTCACAACTCAGTCTTTCTTTGGCTCATGCTCTGGACTTGCACAGGTCTTGCTCCATGAGGGTGGCAGCTCCATCTTTGCACACCTGCCAGGACCCAACCCTCTGGGTTCATTCATGCTCCGTCCTCACTCCTCTTCATGTTACAGAACACTCTGCTGGGCAGCCTTGTGGTCTTCGCCAGCCTCTTGGTGTTGTGCAACACGCAGTGCTATGTCGAACTCTATGACAAGAACCCGGAGGATCCCCCTGATGGTGAGTCCCCATTCTCCAGCGTTGATTATGTCACTGCAGCCTGGGAGATGTGACCTGTGCACTGGTGCTGAACACCTTTGAATCTGCATAAGAAAGAGGGTCAGGGCAAATATAGAGATGGTGTCAAAAGGATTCCAACTTAACCCTAGCTGGGTGAGAGTTGACTTTGTTCTTCTTTTGAAACTTACCAGCGCTCAAGTCCCATCCAATCTAAAACCAGGTAGGCAAATGAGAATCACTGGGGTATGAGCTGCACATTAAAAGCTCCTTGATGGGGTGAGCATTTGGCTTAATAGTTACACTGTGGCTTGGGACCCGTATCCCATACTAAAGTGCCTGGGTTCAAGTCCCAGCTCTGCTACCAATTCTAGCTTCCTGCTGTTGTGCGTCCTGGGAGGCAGCAGATGACGGCTCAATTCATTGGGTCCTTGCAGCTCATGTGGGAGACCTGGATGGAGTTCTGGGCTCCCAGCTTTGGCCCTGGGCCACACCAAGGTTGCTGTGGGCATTTAGGGAGTGAATCAGCAGATGGGAGCACCATATGTTGCTCAAAAATAAAATAGAATAAAAGCTCCTTATTTGACTATGAAGTGGGGCACAGCCCTGGGTCAGTGGCTCTGCAGGCAGATGTGGGAGTCTGCATGTCTCATGCCACCCCAGGTGATGTTGCAACTGGTCCTTCCAGGACACTGGGACCACATGGATGCAAAGCAGAGGATTGTACACTTGGTTAAACATTTGAATTCTTGGGGAGTTTGGTTTTTTTTTTAAGATTTATTTATTTTATTTGAAAGAGTTACACAGAGAGGAAAGGCAGAGAGAGAGAGAGAGAGAGAGAGAGAGAGAGAGGAATCTTCCATCTGCTGGTTCACTTCCCCAATGGCTAAACTGGCTGGAGTTGGGCTGATCCAAAGTCAGGAGCCAGGAGCTTCTTCCAGGTCTCCCACGTGGGTGCAGGGGCCCAGGGACTTGGGTCATCTTCCACTGCTTTCCCTGGCCACAGCAGAGAGCTGGATTGGAAGGGGAGCAGCTGGGACTCAGACTGGTGCCCATATGGGATACCGGCGCTTCAGGCCAGGGACATTAACCCGCTGCACCACAGCGCCAGCCCCGGGGAGTTTCTTAAACATGTGGTGGCCTGGGCTTCACACCCAGAGACTCTGATTTCCTTGCTCTGGGGTGGGTCCCAGATGTAAATTTTTTTATTTCAAATTTTCCATTATCTATTTTGTTTATTTGATAGGAAATGGAACAGGGAGAGAAAGAGACGGAACAATGAGCTTCCAAACCCTGACTGGTCCACTCCTGAGATAGCCCAAATGCCCACCTCCAAGTGTTCAATTAAAAAAAATTATCTTATGTATTTTAAAGGCAGAGTTACAGAAAGAGAGGAAGGGACAGAGAGAAAGTATGAGAGTGGGGAGAGAGAGACGTTCCATCCACTGAGTTTCCCCATGTTGAGTGCCAGGGGCCCAACTAACTGAGCCATCTTCCACTGCTTCCCCAAGCACATTAGGAGGGCACTGGGTAGGAAGTAGAGCAGCTGGGACTCAAAGTGGCACCCATGTGGGATGCCGGCCTCTCACAGGTCCCTGTAGGTGGCTTTGAAGTGCCCCGTATGTGTCACATGTTCACCCAGGGTTAGGGACCGCCGATGAAAAACACTAGGGAGGTGCTGTGCTGAGGTATTTCTGCAGAGAGAAGCCAGCAGGAGAGAACTTGGTCCCACAGAGCCCCATGCTTGTCCTAGCTGTCTGATTAAAGAGGAGGGCTTTATATCTCCAAATGTCTGTCCGGAAATAAAACCTGCAGGGATTCAAGCTTTGTGACAAAACGTCACCAACGGCAGGTTCTGCACGGCAGCACCTTTCCCGGACACCATGGTCACATGGCAGGGGGCTGGCCTTCCTGTCCTCATGTGCCCTGCTCCCGCCAATGCTCCCGATGATGTCGCTTGTGTTGTCTTAGAATGCAGGGACCTTGATGGAGTCACACACAAGCTGAACGTGGAGTGGAAGACTGAGAACTGTTGCACATGTAGTTGTGATGAGACTGGAATTCATTGCTGCAACACGTGAGTCACAGCGGGTAGTGGCGGAGAGAGGAACAGCACTGCTCCTTCTTTGAAAACCCTGTATTTTGGGGGCATCCTTGTTTGTTTAAATAGGCTTTTTTATAGGCATTTTTAAAGAGCCTCTTGGATTCCCAGCAAATTGAGCAGAGCTAGAGCGATTTCTCATACACCTCTGCCCCCATACATGCACTGTCTCCCTGTTAGCAGTGTCTTCCACCAGCGGTGCATTGGTTACTGACCTCACATGGACTCATCCTTGTCACCCAATGACCACAGTTCACATTCACTCTTGATGTGGTGGTGGGGGTTGAGGGATGGAAGTCATTTTTAGTCCTATTTCTTTTATTCTTTATGTAATTAATTGCACACACACACACACACAGAGAGAGAGACAGAGAGAGAGACAGAAAGAGAGATCGAGATCTCCCACGTGTCAGTTCACTCCCTAAATGCCTTCCTGCCAAGACTGGGTCAGGGAGCCAGGAACTGAATCCAGATCTGCCAGACTCCCATGTGGGTGGCAGGGACCCAAGGACTTGAGCTCTCACTTGCTGTTTCCCGGAGTGTGTATTAGCAAGAAGCTGAAATCTTGAACTGGGACCCCAACCCAGGGACTCCAACATGGAATGCAGGCAATCCCAGGGGTATCTTAACCACTAGGCTGAATGCCCACTCCTCTCTTCCTTCTTTGGCTTGTGGTGGAATACGTAGCACATTAACGTACCGTTTCAGCCATTTGTAAGTATACACTTCAGTGGCGTTAAATAAATTCATTGTGGCTGCCACCCCCCCGCCATGCCCTTCATCCTGAAGAACTGGGATTCTGCACCCAGTCAACACTGCCCTCGCAGGGGCTGGTGCTGTGCTGCAGCGGGTTAACACCCTGACCTGAAGCGCTGGCATCCCATATAGGCGCAAGTTCTAGTTCGGGCTGCTCCTCTTGCAATCCAGCTCTCTGCTATGGCCTGGGAGAGCAGTAGAAGATGGCCCAAGTCCTAGGGGCCCTGCACCCATGTGGGAGACCTGGAGGAGGATCCTGGCTCCTGGCTTCAGATTGGCGCAACTCCGGTGGTTGTGGCCGGCCATCTGGGGAGTGAACCAGTGGATGGAAGATCTTCTCTCTCTCTCTGTCTACCTCTCTGTAACTCTGTCTTTCAAATAAATAAAATAAATCTTAAATTAAAAAAAAACACTGCCCTTGGGGCTTGGCAAACACCATCTGTCTCTATGAATTTGACTGTTCCAGGCTCCACATGTAAGTGGAATCATGCACTGTGTTTGTCCTCTTGAGACTGGCTTCTTCACAGAGTGTGGTGTCCTCCGAATTCACCCATGTTGTGGCCGGTATCAGAATTTCCTTCCTATTTGAAGGTGGACTAACACTTCATTCTGCACATTTTGCTTAGCCATTCGTCTGCTGGTGTACACTTGGCTGCTTCAGTTTTATTTCCTTTATGTTGCTTTTGGAACTTGGTCAACGCCTTCTCTTTAAAAAGTATCTGTTTTATTTATTTGAGAGACAGGTAGGGCGAGCTGCCGCCTGCTGGTTCACTTCCCAGATGTCTGCTACGTCTGGGATTAGGCCAACAGATGCTGGGAGTGGGAACCAATCCATGTTGGTGGCAAGCCTCAACCACTTGAGCCACCGCTGCTGTCTCCCAGGGTGTCCATTCTCGGGAAGCTGGAATTGAGAGCAGAGCTGCCTTCAACCCACTACTCAAATGTGCGATGCGGCCACTCAGCCAGCAGCTTAGCCTCTAAGCCCCCAAATGCCCACCCCAGTTTCCTTATTCTTTGTTTAAAAGATTTATTTATTGGGGCTGACACTGTGGTGTAGGAGGTTAAGTCTACACCTGCCATGCTGGCATTCCATATGAGCGCCAGTTCAAGTCCCAGCTATTACACTTCTGTTCCAGCTTCCTGCTAATGGCCAGGGAAAGTAGTGGAGGATGACCCACGTGCTTGGACCCCTGCACGCACATGAGAGACCTGAATGAAGCTCCTGGTTCCTAGCTTTGGATTGGCCCAGCTCCAGCCCTTGCGGCCATTTGGGGAGTGAACCAATGGATGGAAGATCTCTCTGTCTCTCCCTGTAACTCTGCCTCTCAAATAAATAAGTATTTTTAAAAATATTTATTAAAATATAAAATACTATAATACATAATTTATATTATCATATTTATTTATTTGAGAGGCAGAGTTACAGAAGGGAGGGAAGAGAGAGAGAAAGAGAGAGAATCATCCCTTGGTTCACTCCCAAATGATTACAATATCAAGGGCTGGGCCAGGCCAAAACCAGGTGTCTGGAACTTCATCTGGGTCTCCCAAGCACTCAGGTCATCTTCTGCTGCTTTCCTAGGCCATTAGCAGAGAGCTGGATGGGAAGAGGAACAGCCGGAACTTGAACCAGATGCCCATATGCAGGTGTCACTTCTCCCTGCTGCAGCACAGCGCTGGCCACAGTATCATTAGCCTTAAATCTCTGTATCCAGAGGGGTTCTTGGAGACAGGAAAGCCTATGCAGTGGTCGATGTTATTGGAGAAGCTGGCCCAGCCATCGGTGCAGCCTTGGCCTTGGCCACTAGGAGGAGCAGGCGGTGCTGGATGTGAGGTGTAAGGAATGAGGGCGCAGTGTGTGTACCTTGTGCTGTCAACCCTATGTTGTGCTGCTGGGAGTTCTACCCACGTCAGCTCAAAGGTCATGCAAATGTGTTCTGCTGGGGTGCTGTGGACACCAAAGTCTAGATTGGGGAGGAGACAACACAAAATACCCACAGGTCTGTCCACACCAGCCACCCTACTCCTAGCCCCCTGCCCTAATCCATCTGCCATCCACATCAGCTCTGGCCTATGGTGTTTCACAAGCACGTGAGTGGCCTTGACGGGAGCACGTGTGTAAAGCAGCTTTCCCACGCTTGCTGGTCACAGAGTCCTCTGGGAGGCCAGGTGAAATGCAGATTCCTGGGCCCTACCCCAGAGCCTCTGATCAGAATCCATAGGGAGAGACCACGGAACCTGAATTTTTTAAAAAATATTTTTATTTATTTATTGAGAGGTGGAGCTACAGACAGAGAGAAGGAGAGACAGAAGAAAGGTTTTCCATCCGCTGGTTCACTCCCCAGATGGCCACAATGGCCAGGATTGGGCAGATCTGAAACCAGGAGCCAGGAGCTTCTTCCAGGTCTCCCACATGGGTGCAGGGGTCTAAGCACTGGCCACCTTCTTTTGCTTTCCCAGGCATATTAGCAGGGAGCTGGATCAGAAGTGGAGCAGCAGGGACTTGAACTGGCTGCCACATGGGATGCTGGCAGCCACAGGCAGAGGTTTAGGCTACTGTGCTGCAGCACCAGCCCAGGAACCTGCATTTTAACCAGGGCTTCCAAGAATCTGATGACAACTCCAGGGAGTAGGGGAGTGATCTTCTGACCCAAACCAGAACACTTGAATCTCATTGAAGTTCGCGTGGCTGGAAAGTGCCACTCACATTTGTGAAGCAGGTGCCAATGCTAAGTACGTACTGGAACAAAAGGCATATGGAACCGGGCCTCCAGCTGGCTGCCCGCCCAGAGCAGGCTCCCAGGCATCTACTGGCTGGGGCACTGTGTGTTCCATTTGAATCTTGATGTTGTGGCCCCAGAACCTTGAATTCGCCCTTGTGTCGAGGGTCAGCAGGACCCTGGTGTGCCTGGCTGGGTTAAGGGCTGGTGAACTGTGCCTTACTCCCACCGAGGGCACCTCTGTGGTGGCATCCCCATCCCATCAGTGCTGTATCATCACGTCCCATCCATGGGACCCTCTTCTAAGGTTCCCATGGACCCCAAGTAGAAAGCAACCAGGGCTGCCCCAGGCAGTGAGGTGGGAGGAGCCTCGATGCAGGAGTCTCAGTGAGCTTACTCAGCTCTGGCTTGTTGCATGCATTTGGGAAGTGAACCAGCAGGTGGAATCGCTCCCTCCCCCATATCTCTGCCTCTCAAAAGATAAAAATCCATTTGCCTCAGCAAACACGTCAGGCCTTCTCTGTGTCAGTTCTGAGCGCCCTGAGCCTGGAATGGCAACTAGCACGTGGTTGGGGTGAGGGTACCCTCTCCCTCTCTGCTGCTATGTTGCCTGTCCACAGGAAGTATGCTCACTTCTCTCTGCTGCTCAGAATCAACCCCTTCCCTGGAATTGCTCCATTGCTTACCAAGTTCGTTTTTCTCATGAACTCCTCTCTCTCCCTCTCCTGACCAGAGCAAAATACAGATTTTGATTAAACTTTCTTTGGGAGAATTTCCTGGATCCTTGCACCTTACTTGAGACACAGGTAGATTTCCAAGTGGCAGTAGCAGTGGAGCCTGGGGCTGGAGGCCCAGGCAGAGGCTGCCCCCATCAGGGGGTGGGAGATCTCCTGGCCTCCCCACCTCCCAGCCCCTGCTCTCTGACCGCAGTGAAGGAGTGAGCTGTGGAGGCAAAGGCCCAAGGTCATCCAGCCCCCAGCGCTGAGACACCCCTAATGTTCCAGTTTTCCCTTCTCATTCTCTCTTTAGCTGTTTCAGCTACAGAATTGGGTCAGATTTAAATGAAAATATGCATCCAGTAATATGCCCTTTGCCCTGCAACTTGTACCTGCACACAGACAACAGAATTACACAATTTAATTTCCTACTAAAAACTTGTAAAAAAAAAATCTCACCTAGGGGCCAGCATTGAGATGCAGCAGGTTAAACTGCTACTTGGGACACCCACATTTCATACTGGAGTGTTGTTTCCAGTCCTGGCTGCTCTAGTTCCAGTACACTTGGGAGAGAGCAGATAACAGAGCAAGTGCTTGGGGTCCTGACTCCCATGTGAGAGACCCAAATGGAGTTCCAGGCCCCTGGCTTTGGCCTGGCCCAGATCTGGCTGTGGGGGCATCTGGGGCAGTGAATCGGCAGATGGAACATCTCTCTCTCTGTGTTGCTCTGCCTTTCAAGTAGATGAAACCAACAGACTTTAAAAAAAAAACTAAGAATATCTCTTGAACAACAACCACTTTCCTTTTTAATGTTTTTTTTTTTATTGTGGTAAAATCTATATGACCAAACATTTGCCAGTTTCACCACTTCAAAGCGTACAGTTCAGGGCGTGAAGTTCATGCACAGCCAGAGGCACCCATCACCGCCATTTCTAGAACTTTCCAGGGACTCCAAACCAAAACTCCCCGTGTATGCAGTCCTACCTCCCCCTCCTCCTCCCCCAGTCCCTGAGAACAACTAATCTACTGTCTCTGTGGATGTGCCTAGTGTAGATCTTTCTGGAAATGAATTGCACATTTATCTTTTGCACTCTGCATATTTCGCTCAGCAGCACGTTTGCAGGGTTCATCCGTGTTGCAGCCTCTTTCAGTAATCCCTTCCTTTTGGAAGCCTGAAAAATATTTGTGTTATAGGAATAGCCTATTTTACTTCTGTTCCTGTGCTGACGGACCTGTGGGTTATCTGCACCTCTGGGCTATAGTGTGTGCTAGCTCTACAGTATGGTTGAGTCCCTGCTGTCAGTTCTTTGGGGCGTAGTACCTGGGGTGGAGTGGCTGGGTCTCATAGTGTGTATTTTCTTTTTAACTCTTTGAGAAACTGCCCATCTGTTTTCCACAGTGGTCACGAACATTCACATTCCATCCTGTAAGCAACCATATTTTTTAACTTAAAATATTGTTGGATTCAATTTTATCAGTAAGCATTCTTTTAAAAAAGTTATTTATGTATTTGAAAGGCAGTTACAGAGAGAAAGGGAGAGAGAGAGCAAGAGAGATCTTCCATCTCATGGTTCACTCCCCAAATGGCCACAGCATCCAGGCTGGGCCAGACCAAAGCCAGGAGCCAGGAGCTTCTTTCAGCTACTCGGGCCATCTTCCACTGCTTTCCCAAGTGCATTAGAAGGAAGCTGGATTGGAAGTGGAGCAGCCAGGACTTTGAACTGGTGCCCACATGGGATACTGGCATCACAGGTAGTGGTTTAACCCTCTACACCACAACACTGGTGCCCAAACAACCATTTTTAACATTAAAAGTTTCAGTAATAATTTCCCAAGTTTTCAGTATAAAACATAGTAATTACAGCACTATTGGAAAGTATAGGAATAAAATATATTTATAATCACACACAACAATTAGTATCTTATCCTGATTTCCTTCTAACTCCTTTTTTTGTTTTGTTTTAAATATTTATTTATCTGAAAGGCAGAGTTATAGAGATGGAGAGAGAGGAGGGAGAGGAGAAAGAGAGAGAGAGAGAGGCCAACCATCCACTGGTTCACTCCCCAGATGTCCACAACAGCCAGAGCTGTGCTGATCCGGAGCCAGGAGCTTCCTCCAGGTCTCTCACGTGGGTGCAGGGGCCCAAGGACTTGGCATCTTCTACTACTTTCCAAGGCCACAGCAGAGAGCTGGATCAGAAGCAAGCATCGAGGCCGCCTGGCTTCAGATCAGCATGGTGCGCCAGCCACAGCGCACCGGCCGCAGTGGCATTGCAGGGTGAACCAACAGAAAAGGAAGACCTTTCTGTCTCTCTCTCTCACTGTCCACTCTGCCTGTCAAGAAAAAAAAAAAAAAGAAGAAGAAGAAGAAGTAGAGCATCCAGGACTCAAACCGGCACCCATATGGGATGCCGGCCCTGCAGGTGGTGGCTTTACCTGCTATGTCACAGCGCCAGCCCCCCAACTCCTTTCTACACTTTTTGTTTTTTACATGACAGATACCAAACTCTAGGTTGCAATTGTGTAGTCTGGGTTTTCCACTCAATAGTCTAGCATTAACACTCACGCACCTCATCAAAACTCTTGCAAACATTCAAGCTAGTCATTCGTTAGTCTTCAAACAGATTCAGTGCTGAACCCCAGCGCTGAAGTCAAGTCTCGAGCATTTGCTTCCACTCGCGTGCAGCATGAGCCAGCAGGAGATTGGTGTGCGAGTGCCCTGACACCACTGGCCCAGAGGGAGCGCCATCCTCAGGTGTCTTGGGAGGAGTCAGGCAGTTGAGATAGAAGAAAGACCCTGGCTTTGTTGGTGGCCAGTTGAAAGGAAAGTGAGGGTCATCTTTTGTCACAGAGGGTGGTGGGGAGCGGCTGTGTGTATGCACCTTTTGGGCAGAGACAGTTTAAATTTAGGGTTTACGCATGAGCTTCAAGGGACCAATGGGCCCCCAAATTATTTGCCCCACTGAATGTGGGGGTGAATATTCTGAGGGAGATGGTCCCCAGTCTTCAACTCCTTCCTGGGCCCCATGACCCCAGCCTGGAGTGGCTCTCTTTGCTCCTGTGGGTTGAGATGGCTCCTCTTCTAACTTCCTTCCTGCCAAGCTTGGGACAACCTGACCACTTCCTGAACAGGAACACCAGGGACAACCAGGCTGGAGCCACCTGCCTGGCCCCAGAGCAGCCCAGGCCTGCCTCTGGGGCTATCAGAACTCCTGGCCATGCTGGGCAGGCCAGACGGACTGCGCGATGGATGGCAGGGATGGTTTGTATGACTGCAGAATGGGCAGGTGCAGGTGCCCCGGGGGCCACGCTGTGGGGCTGACAGCAAAGGGTGCCATCCCATTGATGATGGCGGTTGCAAGGTGGGAGGAGAGGATCCACTGCAGTGTGGCCCTGGCTGGGCTGGGGTGGGGGTAGCATGGGGGAGTCTTTTCCTGTCTAACAGGGCTTGGTTTTTCTCGATGACAGTGCTGCCATCCCCGGAGGTTTTGATACCACAAAGTGCAAGACGATCTTCCACAAGGACACTTGCAGCTACTCCGTGGTGGAGCTGGAGAACCCGGACAAGGAATGTCCAGTCAGCTCGTGGATCCTGTGAAGAGCTAGTGGGCCCAGGTCCTCCCGCGGGCCCGGACAGCCCGATGTACAGCCCTGCTTATCAGTAAAGCATGTGTGGAGCAATCACTCGGCTGTGTATGCATTGATTGCGCATTTTAAAGCATGTGAACTGAAGAGAAGAAAAGTGGAATAAAGGTTATGCCCATGTGCCCGCACGCAGCGTCCCCTGTCCCAGCGCCGGGGCACCCCTGTGGTTTCTGCCTGCAGCCTGCTCTCTGCTGGGCAATGAACACAGTCTATCCATCTTTGTGATGAGATGGATCCTTTCCCTGTTTGGGGGTGTTTGTGTTTTATCCTCCCTTCCCCTTCATGGGTGAGGGGCCTCTCTCTCTGCTGTGGCTCCCCACAGGCTGCAGTGGTTGCCTGAGGATAGAACAGGTCAGAGCAAGGCAGCCGGGAGAAGTGTCCAAGACCTGGTGCAGCACAGGGTTGAAGAGGCCAAGGCTGAGAGGGCGTGGCCTGAGGGAGCCAGGGCTGATGGGTTGTGGCCTGGGGGAGCCTGGGCTGAGGACCTGGCCTGGGGCAGCCAGGGCTGAAGGGGTGTGGCCTAGGAGCAGCTGGGGCTGAGGGGCACAGCCTGGGGAGTGAGGGCTGAAGGGCGTGGCCTGGGGCAGCCAGCTCCCCTCGCAGACCACTGAAAACAGTGACTTAACAACGCACTGTCAACTTCTGTTCAGCTGGGCCAGGCGGTGAAGGGGCACTGGCTGGGTGTACGTGACAGGTCATCAACAAGCCACTGGCCATCGGCCTCACAGCGTGTGGGCAGCTGATAAAGAACATTCTCTCCCCTCTGGCCCGGCCCCATCTGTGCAAACAGGCCGCGTGGACGTGCTGAGCAGTGCAGCCGGGCCCCTCGGCGTCTTTGTCCACTCTAGATAGTGACTTCGGTTATGTCCAAGCCTCCCTACAACTCCGCGCCTGCATCACGGGCACAGCCGTGGGCCTCTGGAACATTCCCCTACTGAGCCCCTCTCCACAGCTCCCCTTCTGTATCCCTGCCGGTGCCTCCGCCACTTTCTACTCGGGCTGCCTTGCCCCTTGTAGGAGCCGCCCTTGAGTGGGACCCATAAAACCCCTTTTGGGGGCCATTATTGTGGTGCGCCGGTTCGAGTCCCAGAGGCTCCACTTCCTATCCAGCTCTCTGCTATGTCCTGGGGAAGCAGTAGAAGATGATCCAAGTCCTTGGGCCCCTGCACCTACTAGGGAGACCCAGAAGCTCCAGGCTCCTGGCTTCAGCCTGGCCCAGCCTTAGCCATTGAAGCCATTTGGGTAGTGAACCCGCAGGTGGCAGACCTCTCTCTCTCTCTCTCTCTCTCTCTCTCTCCCCGTAACTCTGCCTTTCAAATACATGAATTAATTGTTTTAAAGTTCCTTTTACGATCTTCCACTTGGCTGGGAAAAGTGGAAGCAGTTGTCAGTGAGTGTGGAGCCCCCTTAGGCATCTGGCTACACACACACTCAGAATCCCAACGTGGTAACGCGACCCTGGGAAGCTGGTGTGAGGAGGCACCACAAGGCAGGCAGGGTGTGCAAGATGGCCCTTAGGGAGCAGCTAAGTGCGCCTTGGGAGCAGTTCCAGAGGGTTGGAATCTGGGTTGACATTAGCTATTTACCCTATGCCCTTATAACAATGGGAAGAGGTTTCACTTGAGTCTTTCCAGAGATCGCTCCTCAGCCTGTGTGTATACCGGCCCGAAGTGTCAAACCCTGGACCCCAGTCTCCAAAGGCAGACTCTCTAACAGCCAACCTCAGTACCTTTCCCTAAACAAGCCACCCATGAAGAGACAAGGAAGAGGCCTGCCTCCTCCCAACATCGGGTGACATGGAGGACCTCAAGGGTCTGGTGGACCAAGCCCAACGCCTGACCCTGACCCCTAGTCCAATGGGCCCGCTGCTGGTGGTGCTGATCTGTGCAGCCCTGATGTTAAACTCAGGCCGCCGGTGACCAGGCTGGGTTCCAGGATGGGCCCAGTGATTTGGCTTTCTGTCCGGGCACACAGTAACTGGACTGGACCCTGGGACCAGCCCTTCAAGGATGCAGTCAGGCAGCTGGTAGAGCGGACTAAGAGGACCCTTCGACTGATCATCGCTCTGTTATACCCATTGTCGCTGCGGTAGCTGGTGCGGCTGTTGCCATCATTTCCCTCGTCCAAAGTGTTCAAACAGCTGACTGGTGAACAACGTCACTCAGCTAACGGCCACTCCCCTGTTTACCCAAAACCAAGCCACCAGTCAGATCAAAACAGCGATCCTGGCCTTGGAACAGGGGTTGGATTCACATCAGAAACAGATTGAACTGCTTTGGCAGACCATGCACCCCCAGTGTGACGTTGGCTTCACAGATGGTTCTGTCTCCAGCGTGCCTGTCTTAGACTGGGAAACTTGGTCCCATACCTTGTCAGCCTGTATTGGGGCTCTTGGATGGGCAGTTTTCTCAGGCGCTCTTCAGTTTAACCCAACAAATTCTAAAGCTTGACGCTACTCACATTTCTGCCCTGGTAGTCACCACCTTTACATAGGGCCTGGGTGATAACTGGTGGGGACCCATGAAGTTTTGCTTACATCCCAACATGATTATTGCAGAAGGGGGCAATAAAAAAGTCTCAAGAAAGTGCAATTTCTTGTTTTTTTTTTCATTTGTAATGTTTTTAATGAAGATTTATTTTATTTTATTTGAAAGACAGAGCTACAGAGAGGGGGAGAGAGATATTCCATCCACTGGTTCACTCCCATATGGCCACAGTGGCCTGATCTGGGCCCAAGCCCAGAGCTGCTACCGGGTCTTGTATGCTGGTGCAGGGGCCCAAGCACTTGGACCATCCTCCAGATGGCTTTCCCAGGCACATTGGCAGGGAGCTGGCTCAGAAGTGGAGCAGCTGGCTGTGCTTTAACTGCTTTGCCACAATGCTGGCCCCAATTTACAATTCCTTTTACTGAAGATTTGTACAAACTGCCTAGTGTAGGTTGTTGCATGAAAGAAAACCAAATTGACAGTTAGTATTTCGAGTTTACTAAGTCCTACATTGATTCTGACCAACTTGGCCTTTTACCAGTAAGTTGGATGCCAGGAAAAGAAGTACAGATTGGAGATCTTGGTGGGGGGGGTGCTGGTGGGGAAGGAACAGACAACAAAGAGTGTGAGAGCTGGAAGGTGGAGCTACAGATGACCTAGTCCAAGCCTTCATTCCACAGTGCCGATACTGGATCGTGGGCTCCTGCACCTGTCCTAACCACTTGGCACTGGTAAATGGCAATGGTTCTTTTCTCTGAGCCTATCATGGTGCTCAGTGGCCCTTGTTAGAGTTATCCAAGGCAGAAGGTTCTGATACTTTGTGAGTTATTGAGGAGTGTGAATGTGGACTGAGGATCTTCAGGGAAGTTACTCCATTAGAACGTTCATTTTAAGATGGAGTGTTGGCAACTGAAAATTTATTAATACAGTACAGGAAGACCACACCGGTCTTGGGTACAGAACCTGGGACTAGACATTGGGAGCCTTAGTTCAAAGCCCCAATGTTACCCGTGGCAGCTCTGGCCCTTTAGAACGGTCAGTTAAGCTGTGTGGGCCTTTGTGGCTTCATTTACAAAATGAGGGTGCTTCAATCAACCGATACTCAGGTTTTCAACTTCAAATTATGGTGTGTGTGGGTCACAGGTGGTTAGAGATCTTTGGAAATTTTTTGGTTAAACCATATGATAATAAATTAGCTTGCTTTGTGGTTAATTGCTCAATTTTGGTTCCATGATGTTTGAACTTCGGAATTGTATTCATGCAAACCATAGTATAAGTATGGTATATGTTGTTTATAGAACTCCTCTTTGAGGAGATATTAGGTTCTGTTTGAGGGTGTGTGTTTTTCTCTCCCTCTTTTTTTTTTTTTTTTTGACAGAGTTCTCTCTCCCTCCTTTTAACAACCACCCCCTGCCCCACACTTAAACAATGATCATGGATCTAGAGGCAGGGAAGTTTTAGAAAGCACTAAACTTTCTAATTGCTTCTAAAAAAATAAACATTTAAGACAACCCTCACTTCGAGGTGGTAGGCAGTAGTTTGGATTATTATTTTTTAAAGATTTACTTATTTATTTGAAAGTCAGAGTTACATAGAGAAGGAGAGGCAAAGAGAGGGAGGTCTTCCACCTGCTGGTTCACTCCCCAGTTGACTGCAATGTCTGGAGCTGTGCTGATCTGGAGCCAGGAGCCAGGAGCTTCTTATAGGTCTCCCACATGAGTGCAGAGGCTCAAGGACTTGGGCCATCTTCTACTGCTTTCCCAGGCCACAGCAGAGCACTGGAACAGAAGTGGAGCATCTGGGACTTGAACAGGTGCCCACAAGGGATGCTGGCACTGCAGGTAGCAGCTTTACCCACTGTGCCACAGCGCTGGCCCTGAATAGGTTGGATTATAAATGTGAAGATAAGTAGAACTTTGAGTAAGTTTTTATTAATTTGAGTTTTTTAGATACAATTTGGTCCAATTTTACAGGTAGCAGAACTGGCAAAAGTATGTATGCTTGGGTTATATTAGAGTATTTTGACTATTGAGTTTTTTATTGTTAAGTGGAAGATTGAATAAAAAGCTGATATTTATCAAAGCACCACCTCTTCCCCATAAGTGTGTGAGTCTATATTAATATCCTCACTGAACGGATTCGGAAGTTAGGATCAACAGGAGCAAATGGTGGTCCAAAGTCAGAGCTCTGAGTAAGTAGTGACTAAAGGACGCTAACTCATGGCTTTCTCGTTGCAGACCCCCTGACCTCCTGCCCCCAGTTTCTGTGCTGTGTTTTATACTCCTGAGGGGGAAATTCCAAGCCACCGTCGTTGACCCAAACCCTCAGTGTTCAGAGGCTGGGCAAAGTGCTCCTAGATGGGGAGTGGCTCTCGTCACCCTCGCTGCAGCCCTCTGTGGCCGCCGCTGTGTCAAAGTCACTGGAGGCCGTTGTTTTTGACCAGTCTCCAGCACTAGGCCACAACAGACGAGGCCAAAAATCAACATGTAGTCATCCCTGCTAAAGTTCCATGTTCTCAGGCTGAAAGGAAGTTGCTTGGCCTGCCAAGAAATGAGAGTTAGGGAGCATCCAAATGGACCAGGTTTCTTTGGTACAGTAGTGAAGTTCCCTCTGCTTGAATCCTTAGACCAGAGAGGTAGCCTGAAATAGTCTGGTGTTAACTAACCATTGTTTTCTTGCTGGCGTT